TAAAGTTTATTTTTACCAGTACTTGCTTCTAAGACATTACTTGATTGCTAATTTGGAAATCAGCTCAAAGAACCAGAATTAAACATTTAGACAATAAGATATTATCTATTTTCTTTAAAATGTAGAGATAAATGGAAGAATAACTTTGTTTTTAATTACTTTTAGTGGGACTGGAATTCATTTGCAAAGGAGAGAAAAGCCATTATTAATACAAAGCATAACATTCTGCACAAAATGCATTACCTGGAAAACTACTCATAGTTTTTCATTCTAGAAGAGAAATATTTTATAGTAATGTAAAATGCCATATTTTACTAGTGAAAATGGAAGTAGGACATTTCCTTCATATGAAGCAGAATGAACGTCTCCACCAATGTTTCCAGAATGGAGCAAAAGCAGGTGCAATTGGTGTGATTTATGCAGAAGGGGTAGCGGTTGGGGAAGCAAGGAGTAAGGTTTTCAGATATGGTCCCTAAAGGTGGGCTCCTAGGTCCACAGTTAGTCAGCTGAGTTAGAAGCCTAATCTTCAAAAGTGCTACTCCCACTAAAGTCAAGATGAGCTGCTAGGTGCTCAGCACCTTTGAAAATCAGGCAATTTGTTTAGGCAGCTAAATATGTACTTGGGAGTCCAAAATTAGGCATCCGTTTTTTAAATGATCGATAGCTACAAGGCATACTCCCATCAAACCTGCAGAAACCTAGAGCGTAATACTCTTAGATGGAGTCTCCATGGGTCAGGAAGGACGTGTGAAGGCAGGGAAGGAATAAAGGCAAAGAGCACAGGCTATACGCAGCGTGTTCCCCATCTACAACTAAGTACAGCTGAACTTATGCAGGTCTGTGCAGCGTGAACTGAAATTAATGCTATACAGGTGGCCATTATTATTATTAATTATTGTAGTTTGTATTACAGTACCATCTGGAAGTCCCAATTAAGATCCATGTCCAGGACAGTAGGATTCCTAGATACATATACTGAGAAAGAGTCCCTGCCTGGAGATTTTACAATTGAAGTAGGCAAGAACAATAATAAGGGCTATTATACCTGTTTTGCAGATGGGAAAACTGGGGAGCAGAGAAATTAAATTTTGTCCAACGTCAAACATGAACTCTGTGACAGAGCTGGCAATGATGTCTTGTGGCCAAGAGTCCCAGACTTTAGCCACAAGAGGATCCCTCCTCTCTGTGTGACATCATCCTTGGCTAACAAATCATTGGCAGCAGGACTCAGGAGGTCATCAAGCTGAGAGGGAAAGAAAGCAGGTCACATGCTGGGGTGCACACACTTTGATTGGCATTACTAAGCTGCTAAATGGGAAAGCTGAAAAATCTCAAATGCTCAGTAACATTGCACTTCCAACTCTGCCTGTTGCATGTAGATAATCGGAGAACCTCTTAACTTAATGGGTGAATTTTTAATTTCTACTAGATAAATGAACCTGAAGCCCTGCCAAGTTCAGCAAGCACTGCCCACTTTTGGGGCAATTCTGGCTTCTGGAGGGCCTCTTTGGCGAGTGGTAATCTCCATCACCAAAAGATTTTTCAACACTGGGGCATTCATCATAGTGCACCATGACAGCAGCCAGTGTAGACTCTGAACTGATTTTATGTAGTTGTCTGTTTTTAGATCTCCATTAAGACAGAAAAATGAGAATTGGCAGACAAATGATCACTCCAGTGCAGCATTCTGTCTCTGACAATTGCAAGTACCAGATGTTTCAGAGAGATGGAAACCCCCCTCTAAAAAGATACCACATCCATAGAGGAAGGCACTTCTATGTATTGCAAAGTGGTGAGACTTTATTGCAAATTAATCAGTCCACAATATCACTAGAGAATCTACATTTTGGTACTGTAACAGCATAAAGCAAAATGTAAGCCTCTTTTTTTGGTTACTTGAATAAGTATACTGACTTTATTTTAATTTTAAAAGTTGGTTAAGAATCCCCCCTCCTTGATTAGGAAGTTGCATGCCATGTTTTAGCTCAGAGGATATTTTTACAGTGGCATGTGTCATCATTGGACACAACAGTTAAAATTAGATAAATGGCAACTCAGGGCTTAATACTTATGAGAAGTTACTGCAGACTCATGTGAATCTTTCAAATATGAAACTTAAAAAGGCTCATGGTGAACTGCACCTCACATCTGCAATCAGCGCATGACAGGATAATCAAAACATTTAAAGCCTTTACTCTCAGTGGTTGATATCATCTCTAATTACTAGCACACAGAGATAGGTAAAAAGTCCTTGAGAAGCAATCAAATTGTTTGATGACATGAACAGGCTGCTGCTACTAGTTGGAATACAGGGAGAACCATGATAATACAAAAATCTTCAATTTGCTTTGGTTTTTGTTTAGTTTTTCTTCATTTTAAATCCGACTACATAGAACTCAATTCTTCCAGAGAGGGATTCTGCACTGCACCATTATCATGGATGGATTAGCTGCTGCTGCACATAAGGAAGATTATCTCCTGCAGATTATGTAAGAGTTGAAGATGATTTGGTTGTGTACAAAAAGTTTGCAGAAGACAGGGACAGAAAAGGCACTTCATAGATCTACGTTACAAAGTGAAAAGTCAGTAGCAAGGCTGCACTGGAGACGATCATCAGCTGGTATAAAATATTATAGCTCTGCTGACTTCAGTGGAGCAATGACAATTTACACCAGCTGATGATGTGCCTCACTGTGCTTGGGAGCCTTGTCAATGTAGAAATCCAGACCTCCAGAGCTGCCGTCAATTTATTGGGCCAATTTACGGATTAATTGTATATCATTATTTAAGTGAACTTCCCTCCAGTGAGGCTAAGTTATAAGATGCAATGGCAAAAGTCTCAATTAAACTGCATGTATGATCAGAAAGGTGACTACGTAAAAAAGGCATCTCCTTCTTCGACAGATCGTCTCTCTATCTGTATTCTTATCCCTATCTTCTTGTTCACAATCTTTTATTCCTATTAGTACTTGCTGAGCTCATACAGGTGTGAGAAAGATCTAGATTCTCTGTCTTGCACATCATCAACAGAATTATTACATTTCAGCTGTATAGTCTTTGTCTGGAGGCATGTAATTCAATGGAATTACTGTGCAGGCAAAAAGAACCCAGCTTGACTTTCAGATACCAGGATTTGCAGAGCTGATGGAAAGGCCATCCTTTTAATTAGAAACCACTGAACTGACAAATCTAGCATGTAGAATAATCATTACATAAGAATGACCTTACTGGGTCAGACCAAAGGTCCATCTAGCCCAGTACCCTGTCTTCCGACAGTGGCCAGTGCCAGGTGCCCCAGAGGGAATGAACAGAACAGATAATCACCACGTGATCCATCCCCTGTCGCTCATTCCCAGCTTCTGGCAAACAGAGGCTGAGATAAACTACCACATGAGATAAACTTGCAATGGCTTTTACACAGAATATCTAGCCAGCAAAAGACAGCTGCAGTCACATTATGATGTATTACATCTCCATAATCAATAAGAACAGTTGGACATCCTGTTCCTTATTATATGCACATAGATTAATACAAACATTGAACTTCAGACAGTACATTAGAAGATATCAAGCTATGGTTACTTCCAGCTCGTAACCTAGTAACTGGTTCTAAAACACTATTATTAGTCTCTGTAATGTACACCATCACTTACAGCAACTCTTCCCCTTCCTCTCCCCCCCGCCACAGCCACATAACTTATCAGATTGGCCTATATATGAGAACCTCCTCCAGGGCAAAGGCCTAACCATGCCCCGATGACAAATATCCCAGACGCTATGATTGGCTGTCTGTTCATATATATTTGCCCTCTACTGGATGGCATGTCAGACCTGTACATGTATGATAATGTCACCTTCCAGTGGCTGCCCACAACAGAGGATAGAAGCCCTTACACTACTACACAAGTGAGCATGTTGCATGGTTACAGATCAGCTTAGTAGGAAATTAGTCAAAAATCCCCTACCTAGTTAATGCTTAATACAGAATTCTTTTCCCTTCTCCATTACCGTATATAAAACACAAGGATTCATGTTCTGGCTGGCAGGTTTGGGGTTACTACAATACCACCAAACAGAGCTAGTTGGTATTGGGGCTGGTAAAGCTAAGCCTCAGTCAATAATGCAACAGCTATTGGCTCTGCAACAGATACTGTTAAGTCGCTATGGCAGAGGTTCTCAAACTGTATTCTATGGGTCACTACCTGATGTTCCATGGAGAGATGACAGATCTCTGATCCTGGAGAAGGAACAATCAGGTGAATTGGAGAAGGGATGGAGGAGAGTTTCAAGCAAAGGCTGGCTCTTGCTGGTCCCGTGGTTATTTGGGAGGAATTTTTCTGAGCCTAGTGGTTTGTGTAGGTTGGCAGGTTCTGAGGCTGGATGGACTCAATCCTACCCAGGATGCAAAAATCCTGTCTCCCAGTTTTTCACTTTGAAAATCTAGTCAACATGCAGGAAAAAGGTAGGAGAGTATATGAAGCATAAAGATTTCTCTATGTAGTGTGAACTTTTAGGACCTAGCCTTCAATAATGTATGATGACTAGTAATGGGAAAGTGTTTAGCGATTTGCCTTTGATATGCATCCAAAAGTCTGAATTTTTGAGGTCTGGTTGGTAAGCTCTGAAAAGCAGGTTCCTTCAAGAAATAGCCAATATGTCCTGCTCTCAGTGTGCTTGGAAATATTTTTTGGAAATATTTTTTGGCAATATTTCAGTACTACCATTTCTGGCTGAAACTAGAAAATTCAAGATTGTGGAAAGTGAACTAAAGATTTAAGAATAAAACCCATGTTAAAGGCCTGGATGCAGGTTCAGGTAGGTGGTTCTTTTATTTAAGTTGGTTCACTCATACCCAGTGCTGAAATGAGTATCAGGAAAGTAAAACTATTTTCCCAATTGACTTGAACTTGAACATAGTGAGAGTGTGCTGTAAACATAGTGGACAAAGCTCACTGTAACAATCAATGAAATGGATAATCTGATATCTTAGATGATCTTACCAGTAAAGTCGATGAGTTATTTGGATGCTCTGCAGAGAGCGGCATAGCAGAAGTTTCACAAGAGGGCTTTCAAGACTCCACTCAAACTTGATCACCTTAACAGACATAGAAACCACATTCACTTACATGCTGTTTCTGTTGCGTTCTCTTTAAAACAAAAATGGCCTGACAAAGGTTTTATTGATTTATGTATGTATTTTAAAAGTGATAACCCAAAAGAAGCAGAACATTCCCAAAAACGCAGTGGGGATAGACAAGTCCGCCCCCTCCCACTTCCCGTCCTGACTGTCCCCCTCAGAACCTCCAACCCATCCAACACCCCCTGCTCCTTGTCCCCTAACTGCCCCTTCCCAGGACCCCCATCCCCTATCCATCCTCCCTGCTCCCTGTCCCGACCCCTATCCACACCCCCATCCCCCAACAGCCCCCCGGGACTCCCACCTCTTATCCAACCTCCTTCTGCTCCTCATCCCCTGACCACCCCCTCCCGGAACCCCCCATCCCTAAGTGCCCCCTGGGATCCCACCCCTTTATCCAACCCCTCCCCACTCCCTGACCCCTGACAGGCCCCCCAGGACTCCCACTCCCAACCCTCCCTGTTCCCCATCCCCTGACCACCCCCCCAGAACCTCCGCCCCATCCAACCGCCCCCTCCTCTCTGACTGCCCCCCAACACCTCCTGTTCCCTTATCCAACCCCCCCCCCGCTCCCTTACTAGCAGCAGGAGCTCGCAGCCGCGACACCTGGCCAGAGCCAGTTACTCTCCCCATGCTGCCCAGTTTATAACTATATGTTCCATTCTATGCATCCGATAAAGTGGGCTGTAGCCCACGAAAGCTTATGCTCAAATAAATGTGTTAGTCTCTAAGGTGCCACAAGTACTCCTGTTCTTTTTAATTATTACATGCCATTGAAAGTGGCTCCTTCCTGGGTTTCCCTTGTCACCGCCCTCCCACAAGCACACACCCCAACATAAACTGAAAGGTTCTGACCCCATAGGAGCGGGAGGAGAGGCATTTATAAAAGATTGCATGGAGGAAGGACAATGTTTTGGGGACAGTCATCTCTTCCTGGACCCCAAGAAAATATCTACTGAGCCATGGTTGCAAACCCTTGAGAAGACAGTTGGAACATTCTGTCCTACAGCTTATAAAGTGTTTTGGGATCATTTATGAAGAAAGACGGTGTATATAATGAAAGATTATTCAGCCTGCAAATTGCTCTCTTCAGTCCACATTGGCGGCATCTTTCCCCCATCCTTACACCAATTGTATTTGGCTACTTTGCATAGATATCTACAAGTAAATAACTCATTGTGATGCCAAACACTACTTTTCTTGCAGAGAAGCCATGCCACTACCAGCCTTTGATTTGATGGTGTCTGCTATTGGTCGTAACTCCTTTTCTTTTCTTTTTTTTCAGATGCTATATTTTTTCCCCCCAGAGGAAAGGCCTGTTTGCAGGACACAAAAATCCAATCAGTAATGCCAAGAAGCAAACCACATTCTCTTGAATGGAGCACAATCTATAGTTCACCCCTGTAGTTAACTCAATCATTGCATCAGCTGATCTGACTTTCTTGCTTATTCTTCCACTAATGCATCAATCAAACTGAAAGAATTAAAAGTATTTAATGAAGTCATTGATCTGGCTAGAGAACTTCCTTGGCTATCCATTTTTTCGTTACCTGAACCAGCTGTGGGAGGTATTCTAACAATTCATCATTTGACAGATTTTCCATTTGTTGGACTGCAGTTCTGCGAATGTCTTGATCTGGAAAACTAGTACAAAACAAATAGAGATCATTAGGCATTATTGAGCTGCTTCTGATACATTACAATTCTCATGACTCTCAGCAATACAAAATGCTAAAGAAATGGGAGAGGAAGATCAATTTGCTTTACAGTAATAGGTGTCAAACACACATGACTGATAACTTAAATTGCATAGATTTTTACTATACCTTACAGTGAAAAAACATTACACTGATCTCCATGTACCTCTTTTCAGTTAAGCTATAATTAACAATTCAGTCCTGTAGTTATATACTAGTATATGAAGCAAATTCTGAGCTTTCTGCAGCTCTTTTTTTAGAACTGGCTGAAACTCAGAATTTCCATTGCATGGGGAATTCCAACATTTCAAACTTTGTTTTTGTTCTGAATCAGAATTAAAAGACAAAAACTTTTGAAATTTCCATTGTAATAAATTTTTAGAAAATAACTGTTGATTCATTTTGATTTTGACATTTTATTATATTATATTATAATTTATGCATAATAATACAATATAGAATGTGGAAACAGTCATTTCAAAATGAAAAATCAAAATGCTTTTTTTCAATTTTTTTTCCAAAATGAAAATTTCATGGAAATTAACATGTTCCCTTGGAAAGTTTAGATTTTGATGAAACATCATTTTCCAATGAAAAAATGTTCCACTGGAAAATTTTCAACCAACTCTATTAAGGACAAACTTCATGGCTCGGGAGTAGAGCTGGTCAGAATGTCTTCGTCAAAAAATGTTCTGGTGAAATACGACTTTTTGATCAAAACCAACAATTTTAGCAGAAAAGTTTCCAGTTTTTCATTAATAAGCCAGAAATTGAAAAAAAAAATCTGTAGAATTCAGCTTACACTTTCAAAAACTGAAGAATTCTTACAGGGAATTAAAAAAAAAATCTTTTGAAATATTCTGCAAAAAGTAATTGTAATTTTTGACAAGCTCTACTCAGCAAATTAGTAATGGGCTATGCAGCTTTTCACGTCCAGAGAATTTGCTCAACTCTGTCCAAAGTCATTAGCATCATTACCATCATATGTTCAGGGGACACAATGAAATGAGTTGATAGGCTCAATACAGTCCCTTCAGGTCAAACATCTGCATCACAGAAAACAACGAAACCCTACCACTTCTAAACAGACACTATCACTGGGAGTTTTGGTGCGCAACTTCCACTGGATTTCAGTCCTACTTCAGAGCCTAACTCCTTTAGGCTCCTTTGAAAAATCTCAGCAACAGTCTCGTCTATTTGGCACTCTAGATATGGATGACAAGGGCTGACAGGGCCTGGAGACTGAGCTGTCATCTAATCCAAAGGGGATTCCTTTCAGGTCAGGCCAGGTGCAAATTGGCAGAGGCAGTGTGGAAGCTGGCATTGCTGATGCCCATGCTATGTCTGTTCTGTACATCAACAGAGGACTGCACTCTTCCAAGTTGTCAATCGGGGCATTCAATTCACTTGAAAATAAATGAAAACTAAAACATGAAAGACAACAACAAAATAGAAGCAATGGTCGCTGGGAGAGTAATAAAATTTCCACAACTGAGAGAGACTGAAGAACTTGCATAGGCATTTTTGTGCAGAAGTGTCTGGGTATCCTGGAATTCTAGAGAGGTACTTTTAAGTATAATCAAATATAAAAAATAATAAACCAGAAAACCCTACACTTCGATAATCAAATTGCTGTGTGTGTTCAAATAATTAAAAAAAATGGAATGACTATATTTTGGACCTGTTAGAAAGCCCTGGCTTCTGCACTGCATTCATAGCCCATCTGTAGCACATCCCTTCCAAACTCTTTTTTAATTAAACCACTGTGTTTGGCTTTTTAATATTTTGTTTATCTTTATGGTGCATATTTGATGATGTTTTTAATATTGTCTGTAATTGTTTGTGTAGTGCTCAGAATGCCCTGTTGAGCAGGGAGGGGGTGTTTTATAAATAAATGATCATTTTAGTCCCAAATTGGTCTATTTTACAAGAGTTAATTATTTTTTAATGTCAGGCAACATACTATGAATTTGAAGCTGCTACTTTAATTTTTACATAGTTATTTAGAAAAAATGTATTTGAATGAAGATCACAAATCCCCTTATCGTTCTATCATCAAGCTACGCAATTGCTCCAAAGGGTTGTGAGCCAAACTTGCACAGATAGTATGGGAATCAGTACCTCCCTTTCCCTCTCTCCTGGTTCAACAGGTTACTGGAGAGTGAAATATGTTCTATATAGGCACCAAGTCAAGCAGAAAATGTTATTATTCAGTTACCACTTGTCCTTGGGAGCAGTCAGTGCTCCAAGATGTGAAATGTTATGATGACAAAATTCTGGTTTCTCCCCAGCCAGACGAAGAACAAGAAACCTTCTTATTTGAACAGTTCCAGAAAATCCAACTGCTAATGGTTTGATTCCTTAAAACTAATTTGCTAAGAGCTGTAGTGTGAAATGTGTCTATGTTTCTAAATTATTTTAAGGAGATATGTTTAGTGTCACAATGCACTGAAAGGCGTCCACACTGCAGTAAAAATCTAGAGGGCAGCTTGCTTCAGCAAACATGGATCTTACCACTCTGTTTTTGGATGAGATTCTGTATTGCTCTCAGTTACTAAACGGTTTCCTTCAGCTTGTATATATGAAGGTCAGTTTGAGGTCAAGCAGAACCTTTCTGAGGGAATGAGTAATAGACCAATCTTGTTAACCAAGTGACAACTTGTTCAATCCAAACAGTAACAACCATCCCTGCTCTTGAATTTCTGGGCTGTTTGGGGCCCACAGATAGAGCATTTAGTGGTGCTGATTCTTATTCTATTTATCTGTATTTCAGGATTATTTAGATTAGGATGAACATCGAACATCCTTAGAAACATTAGCTCCACAATGAAAAACTCAATCAGTATTATGCAATGCTTATGTAGCATTCTTATATTCTACTTCTTAAAAACATTACGATTTGGGTCAGAAACCCTTTGTGAATCAAAAACTTAAGAACCTAAGGCCTGGTCTACACTAGGAGGTTATGTCGAATTTAGCAGCGTTAAATCGAATTAACCCTGCACCCGTCCACACAACAAAGCTATTTAGTTCGACATAGAGGTCTCTTAAATTCGATTTCTGTACTCCTCCCCAACGAGGAGAGTAGCGCTAAATTCGACATGGCCATGTCAAATTAGGCTAGGTGTGGATGGAAATCGACGGTAATAGCTCCGGGAGCTATCCCACAGTGCACTACTCTGTTGACGCTCTGGACAGCAGTCCGAGTTCGGATGCTCTGACCAGCCACACAGGAAAAGCCCCGGGAAAATTTGAATTCCTTTTCCTGTTTGGGCAGTTTGAATCTCATTTCCTGTTTGGACATCGTGGCGAGCTCAGCAGCACTGGCAACGATGCAGAGCTCTCCAGCAGAGGTGACCATACAATCACAGAACAGAAAGAGGGCCCCAGCATGGACTGATCGGGAAGTCTTGGATCTGATCGCTGTGTGGGGCAATGAGTCCGTGCTTTCGGAGCTGCGCTCGAAAAGACGGAACGCAAAGATCTACGTGAAGATCTGAAAAGCCATGACAGAGAGAGGATACAGCCGGGATGCAACGCAGTGCCGCGTGAAAATCAAGGAGCTGAGACAAGGGTACCAGAAGACCAAAGAGGTAAACGGATGCTCCGGATCCCAGCCCCAGACATGCCGTTTCTACGAGGCACAGCATTCCATTTTAGGTGCGGCCGCCACCACTACCCCACCACTGACCGTGGACTCTGAGGATGGGATTTTGTCGAGGGCCGCTTCCTCAGAGATGTTAGCGGACGGGGAAGATGAGGAAGGAGATGAGGAGGACGAGGCAGTCAACAGCACTTACAACGCTGATTTCCCCGACAGCCAGGTTCTCTTCATCACCCTCACAGAGATCCCCTACCAACCGTCCCCAGGCGTTAACCCGGAGCCAGAATCAGGGGAAGGATCAGTTGGTAAGTGTTTAAAACATGTAAACATTTATTTTGAACAGAACAGGAATATTAACAATATTAACAATGGGTTTTTCATGATTAGTTTGCCCTAGGCGCTTAACATTTTAGTCCTTGGCAGTGCAACTACTGCAAAAGAATCAAACAATGTCTGGTTTATGATGATTAGTTTGCCCTAGGCACTCTACTTTTTAGTCCTTGCCAGTGCAGCTACTGGAAAAGAAGGTCTATATGTCCGGGGATAGAGCTAAAATCCTCATGGGACATCTCCACGAAGCTCTCCTGGAGGTAATTGGAAAGCCTTTGCATGAGGTTCCTGGGGAGAGCGGCCTTATTGGGTCCTCCGTGGTAGGAAACTTTTCCACGCCAGGCTATCATCAAGTACTCCGGGATCATTGCCTTGCAGAGCATGGTGGCATACGGCCCTGGTTTTTGCTGGCTTTCACGCAGCATGCGGTCTTTCTCTGTCCCAGAAATCCTCAGCAGAGTGATGTCACTCATGGTGACCTGCTTTGAATTAGGGGAATGTTACTGTTGGGACTGCTTGCCTGTTCCTTTACAGAACTGTAACCGGCGGTTTACAGCCACGCGGTGGAGGCGGGAGAGGGGCAGCATACAGGGATCTTTCCCGGGGACAGCCGCGAGGGGGTGGGACAGGGGCAGAGTTCATGCTTGCCGGATTGCCGGCAGCAGGAACTGGCCAACGCTAGGAGCATTGCTTTGAACGTGAAAGGAGGGCGCTGCTATAATTTAAGTTTTAAGCAGCCAAAAGTCTAAGGCTTACCATGTCAGCCTGCTACCCAAATTCCGCTGTCCTGCCCCGCTTGTCTGATCTCCAGTGCAAGACCCCAGGCACTGAATGCGAAGGCCGAAAATTCGACCTTGTCCTGAGTGCGCATGTGATAGGTGCTGTGCATGGTCTTCTTCACAGAGAAAGACTATGTTCATTGTTCACAAAAAATTATCCTTGTGAGGAATTCACTCCCTTTTTCCCATCCCACAGCTACGACTGTCTCCCGACCTACCCTGGCATCCCCCTCC